TTTTTTTTTTTTTTTTTCCTCAGTTAGATAACCTCAGTTCATTTATGTTTTAATGTTTCTAATTATTGGTAATTTACAGCGACTGGACTTCAGCTATTCATAGCGAAAGACGGGACAACCGCGCTCGGCAGCCACGAAATCAAAAGTCAGATGCCCGCGGGTGTGTTCAAGCAGGTAGTGATGGAGGAAAATAATAGGTAACACGAAGCTGTCACAACGAGACGACAGTACGCAAGACAGACCAGCGCCACATTCTCGTTGGCCCTGGTGCCAGAGCTCGTCTACGAGGCCTACGAGCCCCGGTAGTTGCGAGAACAACGATGCTGGACGAGGGAATCGTCGAGAAGACGGTGAACACGGCGAGGATAAACGAACGCCAGTGCACCTCGTATTCTCCAACCTAAGTTATTCGTTTCAGTTGCATAACTGTCCTTCCGGCGTTCGGTGCTTCACGCTTCTCGTACGCAATCGAATCGATCGTCATTTACGCTCAAAACTTATGCTGAATCTTTCTTTTTTGATATATCGAATTGTTCAACGCAGCAGTCTTCATTGAACCACGGCGCAGCTCGCGAATTTATAAATTATAAGGGGAACGGGGCGGGGAGGGCCATTGAATTCGTCCGATCTCCAGAATTCGATTCCGTGGCCCGTAGTAATTAGACGCAATGTACGCACCGAAACGCTTCAAGCGAAGGGAGGAGTTGTATAGGACGCTTCGTTGATCGAAATCGACTGGGGTGCACACTAATTCAACCACGCAACGCGTATTTTCTTCCGCGAAGTCGAAGCACAATACAAAATCATTTCTTCTTCTTCTTTTTTTTTTTCTTTTTCTTCTTCTTTTTTTATTATTGTTACTCTTTTTCTCGTCGACCGTGCTTCGAGAACAAATGAGGAACCGTTGTTTATAAATAAAACAAAAAAGAAAAAGTTTCGACCAGAGATTACATGTTAAAAAGCGCGCGATGATTTGTAAAGAGGAAGAGAGAGAGAGAGAGAGAGAGAGAGAGAGGACGAAGGCCGCGATCGGCGCTCAGTGTATCATTAATCGTTTGATGTTAAATAACATCGAACAATGTACGTGCATCAATGCTTCTTTTTTCTACCTGTGTTCACGGTTCCTTCGTTATCCATGTAAACGACTATGCAGTTACTATAAAGTGGGGCACGTTCGTTCGTTTCGATCCTCTCGAAAGGAATCAGTGTCGGACGAACGTTTGACAAACGAGATGAAGCGAGAGATAAGACGAGTCTTGAGCGCGCTCTAACGTACAAAAAAATTTTTCAAATCATCCGTTTCGACTGTGCTTTTCCTTCTTGTCCTGTTTTGCGTTTAATACACACGTTTAAGCGTTTAATACATACGTATTACTCATGTATATAGCGTTCTATCGTTCGGTTGTTCAGTTAGTTCGCTCGAACTGAACGGACTAGTGTCAAATATCTCCGTCGGCGTTTCGATGATGTATTTATTTTTATTCTTCGATTTAACTCCACTTTATAGTATTTCCGTCTAATATATTATCGCGAACTGAATTTTATCACGATCCTCTGTATTATTAGCCTTTACGCTAACTCCTTGTTTTTTTTTGTTTTTTTTTTTTTTCGTGATCGTTTGTGTACGTGTGTATGCGCGCGTGTGCATATGTGTATGTGTGTGTGTGTGTGTGTGTGTGTGTGTGTGTGTGTGTGTAAGAGAGAGAGAGAGAAGAATGTCATTCTTTTGGATACAGATCAAATTGCTGTTTCCTTCTGTGAGAAAAAGGTCCGTTTTATGAGATCGAATCGGTGAAACAAGATTGACCAAGTGCCACATTATTTAATTTTCGAGGCTGGATTTTTCCGTGATATTATTCTAATTATCGCATTCTCGCCCTCGTACCTTTTCCATTTATCCCGTTAATCCAAAAACACGAAGAGAAGAAAAGGGGAAAGATGAAAGGAAGGAAGACAAAAATAAGAAACAGAGAAACTCGTCTTCAATTTTTTTCAGTTTTTTTTCTGGTTGAACTTCTCAATAAACTGCTTCGTCTTGGATTTTGATGAGATTGGATTTTTAATCGCTTTGTTACAATATATGAAAAGAAAATGGCGTAATTTATCAACTTCTCATAAGTTGTATTGAAATTTTTCCTAATTACGTTATCATACACATACAGAACAAAGAAAGCAGCAAACAAATTATGAGCAAAAGATAAAAATTACTGTAGTACAGTTTCTTCGAATGAAACATTCACGCATCGGCCTATTTTGAATCGCTAAAATCAAGAATAAATGTTATTCAAATGGACAGATATTTGAAAAGAACTATATCATTGCAGTCATAGTGGATTCTATTGACATATCCTTATAACTGTGCGTCAGTGATAATCTTTCTGTTCGCAGAAAGTGAAATTAGATTAGAAACCCCTAGCCCAATCCAATCTGTAAAGAAAAATAGTTTGTCGATAAATTAAATTCTATTTTATTTCGCGTTGAACTTTTTTTTTTTTTCCATTGTTTGGTATGCCATGATGAAACGGTTAAAAGGGATTCAACCAAAATCCAAGAGTGGATTGGTATTTTGATAAGTTGACTTTCTGTTGCAATCGGCGGCCGTGTTAGTGATTCGTTGTATATAGAATGGTAGTAACTGTTACATAGGTAAATGGCTGGTGTTGTATATATTCGTTCTCTCCTTCAATTACTCAAATTACCTGTAATTGCTAGCGTATCGGACAGCGCCAACGAAAAATTGGTCGCACGTCACCTGCGAATGAAAATGGCAAAAAGCGAGGAGACGATAACGTTCTGTGTATATAAGCGTGCCTGAATATGTTGAATGTGAATGAGATTCATAAAGAGAGAGAGAGAGAGAGAGAGAGAGAGAGAGAAGACAGAAAGAAATATACTTCCAGTGATATAAAGGCGAACGGACAAACAGTTACAAAAAAAATAATCACGCGATAATATGAAAAAAAATATGAATATGAAGAAGAATGCAAATGTTGCTTTTTACTCCTTGACGTCTGTGACCTGCGACCTGTCCTTGATTCTGCAAGTATTATAGATTAAACAAATTGAAACAAAACATCAAAATCAATGATTGAAACAAATGCGAGGCTAGTAATCGTGCGCGCAAAAACGCCGAAAACCAAAAACCTCTTTGTTGTCAGGTCTTTATTTTATACAAACATGAGGCTTTGGAGCTATTTAATAATAATTTAATAATTATCCTCCAATTCTTTCGTTTAACTCCATTATTCGCTCTCCTGTGAAGGCAATCATTTTGAAATTGTAAACTTGCGAATCATTTTAGTTCTATCGAGTGTTAAATGGCAATATTTTACGAGCTAGGTACAAAGAATTATGTAACTAAATGACACCGAATCGTCGTTTAGGCGAATGAAATTAGTAATTGATGCTCCGTAATTCTATCTTTTATACTCCTCTATTTCTTTTCTTTTTTTTTTATTCTTCCTATTATCACAGAATCCTCCTAATGTTTGCTTAATTTTCATACGATTACTGCATCGCGCTGATCCCTAATTTTACTTTTCATGGGGGAGAGGAACAGACAAGTCATCGATCGATCCGCATCGTTCGCTATTTTCTCAACGTACGTCGATGTGTAGAAAACATTTTTTATTTAAAACGACGTACTACTCTCGATGAACTTGCAATTCCCATAACTGTACGCATATCCCGATCAACACACATCCCTCTGCCTATATACTTTCTTATGTTGTTGATTTATTTAATTTATTCCTTTGAACGAAAAATCCTGCTACGAAGTGGAAACGTCGTTCACCTCGAAATTCGTGCGATTCGTTTGTTCTCTCGTGTCGTTAGCCAAGGTGTGTTCGAGGTCTAATATAATTGTAAATCATGTTGAGAACCGGCGTGGCTCATATTATGTTCCTCTCTGCGAAAAAGAAGAGTCGAAATTCGAAGGACTAGAAATTCGTAGGGACGCGTGTTTGTAATGTGTTTCATTAGCTCGGTGTCAGGTTTTGTAACGCGACATTGGTCTTCATGCTTCCAGAGATATGTAAATTGTGAATAAGATAAATGTTCGTTTTCTGACTTGTCGAAATCTTAAGACTTCGAGGATTCAAGGTAAAAGGCGTCTCTTGCGTATTAAATTGCGTGATCGATGAACAGTCGGTACTCGTGGTTTAAAAAAAAAAAATTACATTCCTTCGTTTCTTTCTTTATTCTTTTTCCCTTTAATCATCTTGTTTCCTTTTTTTTTCGTCTTTTTTTATTTAAATGTCTTTTTTTTTTTAAGAGTCGTGTTAAGCACCTTCTCGACTCCAAAACACTCGGCAGACACTAACGTTGTGATATTTTGTAATATTCTAACGATTACTCGTTATCGCCTCTGTATTACGAATGATATACACCCGTTCCTCGATTTACACGATCTTTTTTCTCTCTTTTATTATTGTATTTACTCTTTGCATGAGTAT